GCAACCTCGGACATGAGTTGGGAGGCGCGCGCGTCAGGCGACGTCAGGGAGCTGAGCGACTTGAGCAGCTACGACGGCGAGTGGGGCGGACCATGGCCCTCAAGAAAGCAGTGGGGCCAGGCGAGTGACCCGACTGCAGACGGCTGGATTCACCCCCTCAGCCGCGCACGGCGCCACCGTCCGCGGCATTGCCGACGCCGCACTCAAGCAGATCAGGACGGTGACTGCCATGGTTGCAGGAGTGCGACCGACGGGCAGCATCAGCATGGGCATGCTCATGCAGGACTACGCGCTGTACGACCCACTCTACTACGCGACCAGCAGCATCGCCTTCATGTACTCCGCGCGTGTCTGGGAGAACCTAGTGTCGCTGCAGTCGCTCAATACCCTGGCACTATGTGGACGGCCAGATGCGTGCGCAGCCCAGCTGGGGCAGAGTGAGAGGGCCCGTCAGCGCCCTGTGGCTCACCCTGGCTCGCATAGGCTGGCGGCTCAGCCCGGCGACCACGTTCGAGGCAGACCCCGGCGCCAGCATGCGCCTCCTGGAGATTTCACCTCGTGACGTCCGTGGCCAAGTCAACCAGGGGGTCACGCGCTGGCTGCTGGCGCGGGCGGCGAGCCACGTCGCAGAGCACAACGGCGAGCAGTTCGGGTACCGCGGCATCAGGCGGTGCGTCGAGAAGGCCATTCGGGATCCTGCCGAACGAGGCTCGCTGCAGTGTACCTTGACTGACGCGATGTGACCTCGTTAAAAACGTTTGAGAAGAAGCTCCTATCTGACGGGAGATGCCTGGCTTGCGGAGCGGAGCGCGAAACCCCGGGCCACCGTTGGTACACGTGCCCTGCCCTCCTGGACCCTAGCCTGCCTGCGCAACTCGGAAGCTCCTGAGGCGGTGGTCAAGACCCGTGAGCGTCTGGCCCAGCAGGCCCTTGAGACTGCCATGGGGGATCCCCATGAGGCCCTCAGGCTCGCTTACGCCATTCCGCTAATGCCTCCTCCCGCCGAGACCCCGCCCATGTGCCCCGAATTCGTGCACCACTGGGGGGGCCCTGAGCTGCCGTGGGGTGGCCGCCTGTACCTCGATGGAGGTGGGTTCGGCATGGGCACCCCTGAGCTTGCCAGATGTTCTTGGGCCGTTGTCCAGCCGTGTGAGGACGGCAGGCCCTGCAAGGCTATTTTCCCTTCCCTCCCAGGCGTGCAGACAGTTGCCAGAGCCGAGAAATATGCTGGACTGATCGCCACTTGCCCCCCCCCAGGTCACCTGTCTCGTCTCGGACCATTTTAAGTTTTGTGGAGGGGGGGCAAAGGTGGAGCCCGCGCGATGCGTCCGCCTCGGCTCGCCACGCCGTCCTCTGGAGAGCGATCCGCACCAATGTGGCTAAGCAGAACAGGAGACCGTCGCTTTTTGAGTGGATTCCCTCGCACAAGACACTGGCTCAGGCTATTTCGCTCAACCTGGACCTCCAGGACTGGCTGGGGAATGGCTGGGCGGATCTGTTTGCTAGCGTTGCCTTAGACCTGGCCAGCCCCGCCAAGAACCTGGTTCGCAACCTCAAGATTCGAATGGAGGGGGCCTGTCTTGATGCCCGTTTCATGGCCTGGGCATCAGCGAGGGTGGCTAGTTCAGGCGCATGGGACCCCGCTCAGGTTGACCCTCGGCGCCCTCCCCCCGCACCTCGGCCTCCGAAGCCCTTCAGCATTGTCGCGCACGAGTTTGCGGAGCTCCCTGGAAGGGGGGTCCGTTGCATGGCGTGCAATCGAGTTGCTCGTGCGGCCGAGACCAAGCGGTGCTTAGAATCGTTCCCCTGTGTGGCGTCTCGCTTGGCCAGGCTTCGGGCCCAGGCTGCCGTGCGCGCGGCAGGAATCAGCCCTGCCCCCCACAGCCGTCGCCTGTTGTGGCCCTAGCCCTAGCGGCCGCTGCCACCGTGGCCGCCGCGTCAGCCCCCTCTGCGAGTGTCGAGGCGAGTCGTGCGCCCAGAGGCCGAGAGCCGGACTCTGCCCCTCTTGAGGCCCCGCAGAGGTCCCGACGCAGGCTGCATGGCACTCGTTCGGCCCAGGCTTTCGAGCGTGATCGGTCTGCCCGCTCGCTGGCCCCGACCGAGCCGTTGACCCCGTCGCGAGGCAGGAGTGTCTCGGAGAGCGCTGGCGCAGAGCCCAGTGCCTCCCCCCTCGGTGCCCCGGCTGGAAGCCAGACGGGAGAGGCCTGTGGTGCGGCCGCCGCCCATCGTCTTCGCAATGCTGCTAGGGGAGTACCCGATGCTCCTGTCTCCAGCTTTGCCCCCTCCCCTCCTGAGCCCCCCGTGGGTGACGTGCTGGAGGCCCCCCTGGAGGGGCTCGAGGTGGGTGGAGGTTGGGAAGGCGACCTTTCGTCGGGCGGGGTGGCGGGGGGGGCGGGGGACCTTGCGCATCGCGCGCGGGCGAGCAGGCCCTGCCGCTGCCGACGACGGCGCCTGCGGAGCCCCCGCCACCGCCTGCAGCGGCAGCGCGGGCCCCGCGCATGCGGGGCCAGGCCGCCCGCGGCTGCGCCGTCGCCGCGGCCGCCGCTGCCCAGCAGGAGGAGAGGGGCGAGGCGGGGTCGGCCACGGGCGGGGTGGGGCAGGGGGTCGAAGTCCTTCACGAGCGGGGCCATGTGATTGTCTCTGCCCCGCCGTTCACCGTTTACCGACGCTGTGGGTGCCTCTCGGGCAGGCAGCTGTCGAAGGGTCTGCTGCAGGAATGCACGGGGCTCTTGCCTGCCCCGAGGTCGTGCCCCGCCCCTGCTTTCAAGGAGAAGGCTCGCCGCAGTGGCAGGTTGCTAAGTGGCGTGCGCCCCGCGCGCGGGCAATCCGCTCTAGTCTGGCAAAGGGAGTGTTTTTTACTCGTCCTTGACCCTGGCCTCCGTGGGGTTCGGAGGCGCCCCTTTCAGTGATATGGGGATCACCTGCTGACGAGCTCCTGGTTCTGCCCAGTGGCTCCAGAGCGGCCCATGTGGGCCCCGCTGGTTTCAGGCCGCGGTCCGTAGCTCCTAGTTGCGGGACGTGGGCCCTTGGTTGCCCACGCATCCGCACACGCGCACGCACACGCGCACGCGCACGCACACGCACACGCACACGCACACGCACACGCGCACGCACACGCACATACATATGGTGCTGTGTACACAATTCGTTCCCGCTCGCTCTCTCAATCGTGTTTGTGGCCTGGGACCAATTTGCGACTTGATGTCTGTGATCGATCTTTCGTTGTGCGACAGAGAAAAATAGTGATATATGGTGATTTAAAAAAGACAGAGAGTGAGACATAGAGTGATACATAGAGCGGGAGATAGATAGCCGGCCAGCGATATATACATATATTCATATAGATGTGTGCATTCATATATATATATATATATATATATATATATATATCGGGAGCCAGGAGGCCGTTGTATTCGACGGAGTCATTGTCGCGTGGGAGGCGGTGGCGAATCATTCAGTCATTGTCCGTTTCGCCAATTTCACGACAGGAGAAGCAGTGATGCGAATGGGGATGATCGGACATCGATTGCGCGGTTTACGCATGCCCTCGCGCAGAAGCACTCCTTCTTTGCGTGCCCTGACGCTGTCTGGACTGTGCAGTCTCGGCATGTCCTTTCTGGCACGTTTTTTTGGAAAAAGGGCTCTCAACACATCAACACGAAGAATGGGAATAGCAGACGAAGTCTAATGAGGGGTGCACGTATCTCGTTTTGTCTTCGAAGCACATGCAGGACCAGGCACTGCGCAAGGTAATCAAAGACATGTCCGAAACCTGGCCCCGGGGCATCCCTCCCAGGCCCTCGGACTCCACCCCCCCCGGCAGCGTCTTCGGAGCTTCCACCGAACTCAGGATGCTCCACGAGCTCGCGTCTGGCGTGGGTTGTCTGGGCTCAGTCCCCCCACGAGTCCGAGTAGATGGGCCCGGAGGGTCGCGCCGCATCGCTGATGCATCGTCGATGCTGCTCGACGTGGAACCCGATTTTCTCCACGCCGACGTCGCCGGTGCATCGCCGACATCGCCGATGCATCGGTGATGCATTGGCGATGCGGTGCGATCTTCTGACCCCGTTTGCCAGGCCTTTACAGGGGGGACCCTATGCCGAGACCATCTCTTGGCATAGGATTGGGCTCACTTTGGCTCGGGGTTGCGGCTGCTCTTGGGTCCCCTCAAGGGGCAGCAGGGGGCTGCCCTCTCGTGGCGTTCCTCTGCCGCTTCCTGGCCATTCCTCAGATCAGACGTTGCCCAACACATTCACATGGCAAAAAACCACCACCAGAGTCCTGGACCCCATCTTCTTGCATCATTGGTCGAGCCAGATTGATCTGTGAAGGTCGCGGGTCCCGAAACTGGGCCAAAACTCCCGCGGTGGAAAACATGCAACCCCAGGATTTCAGAGGGTTCCTCGGCTCCTCCTTCTCGGACTTGCCTAGCAACGGCTCCTCGGCCGTCCTCTAGTCTCTCGTGACGTTCCTCGTCGCCTCCACTCGTGCCCGGGCTGCAGCCGTGGAGCCTGCCGCTGCAGCGTCTGCGCATCCTCCTCCTCCTCCTCCTCCTCCCTCCTCGTCCCGTCTTCTTCTTTTCCTTTTCCTCATCCTACTCCTTGTTCCCCTCTTCCTCCGGTCTGAGGTGGCCCAGCAAGCATTGGTTCGGGCCACCAGGAAGGGCGGGCAGGTTCGAGGCGCTGGGTTCGGGACGGTTTTGTGCCCTTTTCGGTATCTGGGGTTCATGTCCAAGCCCCAGTACCGTCAGAAACGGATCTGGTTGAAAACTACAGGTGGATCCCAGGAGGGGTTTGGGGACGGGTTTTGAGCAAAATTGGTTTCATCCCCCCTCTTGCCTCCTGACTGACTTTCTGTGGTCCCAACCAGTTCAGACTCCCCAGCCGCCTCTGACACCCCCTGTCCTCTTCCCGCCCAGATCTTTCAGTTTCGCCCCTTCGCACAGCCCTCCAGCAGGGTACGTCTCTGTCACCCGCCTCTCTCATGTTCGCGTCTTCGAGGCTCTTTCCGGAGTGCTACGCCCTGTTGCTGGCTGCCGGCTTCCAGGATGCACGATGATCTGAGCAGGCGGCAGCTTTCAAGTGCGTGCCATGTTTGGATGGCGACTAGTAGAGAATAGAGAAGGATGCGGATGAGGTTGGAGACGGGGGAAGGACGAGGAGGAGAAACTAGTCGTGCTTTGGGCCCAACGGCTGCTTGGGAAAGCAGGAGGAGCAAGCCGATGATGATGATGATGATGATGATGATGATGATGATGCTGATGATGATGATGATGATGCTGATGATGATAAAGATGATGATGATGATGATGATGATGATGATGATGATGATGATGCTGATGATGATGATGATGCTGATGATGACAAAGATGATGATGATGATGATGATGATGATGATGATGATGATGATGATGATGATGATGATGATGATGATGATGATGATGATGATGATGATGATGATGATGATGATGATGATGATGATGATGATGATGATGATGATGATGATGATGATGATGATGATGATGATGATGATGATGATGATGATGATGATGATGATGATGATGATGATGATGATGATGATGATGATGATGATGATGATGATGATGATGATGATGATGATGATGATGATGATGATGATGATGATGATGATGATGATGATGATGATGATGATGATGATGATGATGATGATGATGCTGATGATGGTCGTGTCTCACTTGTCATCTCATTAGCGATTGAGTGCCGCGAGGGTTTATCCTCCGAAACCGTCTGGCTCAGTTCTCTCGCGAGGTCTCCAGATGCTGAGCCCCCGCGCGCTGGCCGGGCTGGGCATCGCGCATTTCGCCGGGGCGTTCCTGGGCCATTTCGCGGCGCAGCCCGCCCCCCTGGTGCCGGAGGAGGCGCCTGGGACCAGCCCCGCGGAGGCGGGGGTGGACAGCGGCGCCGCGGCGTCGCGGGACCTCCAGCAGGTGCTCGGCACGCTGCAGGAGGCGCTGGGCGACTGCCTGGCTTCGCGGGCGCCTGTGTGCCCGAGCCCCTGCCCCGAGTGCCGCTGCGACTGCGGGGCCGGGGCTTCGGCGTCGCCAGGCTGGTGGCGCGCGGCCCTTGAGCTCGTGGTGGGGGCCGCCGTGCTCCTCGCCCTCGAGTTCTTCCGCGGGCTGCTGGGCTGGGCCCGCCGGGCCATCTCCTGCGCGAGCCGTTCGTCGGCCCTGCCCGCGTCGAGGCCAGGCTTGGCGGCCCCAGGCTCGCCTGACCCGCGTGTGCCGAGCGGAGGCGGCCAGTATCGATGAATGTTGGGGACGAGATTTGGGTTGAGTACGATGTCGATCCTCCCCTTCTTCATGCTCGGCTTCTTCTGGTGGGCTCGTCTCGCACCCCGGGCGCCTTCTCTGTGCTCACTCCCGACATGGACGTGTATGTCGAGGAGTACACGCCCGCGAACACCGACTTGCGGGGATACTATCTCAAGCAGCCTCGAGGTGTCGGAGCCCTGGCGGTGGCAGCGCCTGGGGGACGAGGGCACTATGACGTCGCCCACCTCCCGACCGCGCCGCAGATGGTCGGGGTGCTCCAGGAGGCGCAGGTGGCCATGGCGTGTTTCGAGGGCGGCGGTGCAGGAGGCGTGGGTGCAGGCGGCGGGGCTGCTGGAGGGCTGCTGGGTGCCGGCGTGGCCGCGGGCCTGCCCGCCGCCTTGGGCGGTGGCGGAGCCGCCGCCGGCGCAGCACCCCTTGCCCTGCAGGGGCCCGCCGGGGCCGGCGCCGCGGGCGCCCCTGGCGCGGCAGCCGGCGCGGGCGGCGCCGCGGGCGTGGCCCCTGCCGGCGCCTTGGTCGCCGCGGGCGATGGGGCCCCTGCCGCTGCCGCGCCTGCCCCCGCCGCGGGCGGCTTGGCTGGCCTCGCCGCCGCGCTGGGGGGACCCCCTGGTGCAGTCGAAGGCGATGGCGCTGGAGCTGCTGTGGGGGGCGAGCGAGGCGGGGACGATCTACGGACCCTTGCTGTGCGGTATGAGCGACAGGGGTTGCGATATCGAGAGTTTCGGGAAGCTGTTCAGAGCAACCGATCCACCAGCTTTCCTGACTGGCCCGTCCCAGGGCCGCGTACCTTCCAGTGGGTGGCGGAGTACCAGATGGAGCACGGGGGCGCCCCCATGGGCCACCACGTGGCGTGGAAGGCGTCGCTGGGAGCCTCCGTCGGGCCCGATGACCCCGTGGTGCACCTGCACGCGGAGTTTAGCAAGCTTATGCAGACCATGTGCACCTACGACCAGCTGGACGGCGCCAACCTCGCATGCGGCGAGCTGGTGGCCCGCCAACTCCAGCTGTGCGAGGAGAAGTACAAGGACAAGATATTGTCGCAGCGCGGGGGAGGCGGGCTCCAGCAGGACGAAGGGTACTTCTTCACCGACATGGGCTCGACAAGAGGCCTCATGGTCAGTCCAGAGCTCGCGAAGTGGGTGGCGGAGCGCCTGCAGGCCGAGAGCAGCGTCGCGAAGGAGCGCCGCAAGGCGCGTGAGGAGCGGCAGCTTGCCGCACCCAGCGGCGGAGGCGGAGCCGGCAGCGGGGGCGGTGGCCCCGGCGGCGGCGGCGGCAAGAAGGGGAAGACGTGACGAGAACGGGGCGTCCCTTCGCCCCGCTGGTGAGGGAGCTCAGCCGACCCTCACTGGCTCCTCCAGGCTTGAGCATCGCGCTCCTGTGGTCTTATGGGCCCCAGTCGTCAGCGAAATGTGTTCCCCCTTCCTCTTTTTCGTGATCTGCCTGCCCGACAACCGGCTTGCCGTGCTGTGGGGCGCCGTCGGGATAGACTGGTGCATTCGCTGCAGTGGGCTAACCTCGGCATCGGATCGCTCAACGAGTTGGCAGGACGCAGCGGCAGCCGCCCACGTCGTGCCTCAGTTTTGCAGCACATGGCGCTCGAGCACATCCGGGAGCAGTACACCGCTTTCCCGGGGCCGCCTGAGGACGTGTGCCCCCGCGGGAGCCTTCGCGAGCTCTGCGGCGCCTGCCCCATGTACGGTATGGAGCGGGCGGATTTGGCATCCTACAGCGAGGGCAAAGTTTCCTGGCCTGCAGAGGGGGCGGCTCCTGTGTCCCTCGAGTCCGCCCTCCAGCCGGCCGACGCGGCGTGGCTGTCGGATTGGGGGGCCAACATGCTTCGAAGCCCGGGGGAGGCTGCTCAGCTTCGCGCTGAACTGGGACTACGTGCTCCTTACTCTGATCCTGGGCTGCGAGACCCCAAGGTGTACGGGCGGTTTCTTGAGCAGCTGCACCGTCGTGGCATGCTCCAGTTTTGCAAGTGGGATGGCAAGGCCCCGACCTGGGGGGCCTTCACGGTTCGCAAGAAGGGGGGCCGCCAGAGGCTCATCTTCGACACCAGGCTGGTCAACCTGCACTGTCGACAGGCGCCTGCTACCGAGCTGCCGTCGGCCGCATCCTTCTCTCGTTTGGAGAGTGAGGCCACCGCCCCGCTGTACTTCGCCTGCGGGGACATCGAGAACGCTTTCTACGCGATGCGGATCCCAGCCGGCTTGTGTTCCTTCTTCAAGCTCGGGCGGGTCCGCGCGGGCATGGTGGGGATCACTTCTCTGGGCGGCGCAGCGGTGGATTGTGGCGACTGGCTCACCCCTCAGCTCACCATCCTGCCCATGGGTTGGAGCTGGGCCATGCACCTGTGTCAGATGGTCACGGTGCGGGCGGGCGTGCCAGTCTCACGGCACGTCCGAGATCGCAGCGAGGGGCTGGTGCTGGGGAAGCAGGACGGCCTGGGTGCCGCCGCCTACGTGGACAACTTCTTGGTGCTTGGCGCCAGCCAGTCGGAGGTCGACTCCACCGCGGCTCGTGTGGAGTCGGAGCTGGTCAACCTCGGCTTCTCAGTGCGCGAGCAGCAGCGGGCCAGCAAGAGGTGCTCGTTCGTGGGGCTGGAGCTGCGCGGGGCGTCGCACTGCGTCCGCGTGTCCCCGAAGCGCCTTTGGCGAGTGCGCTATGCGATCGACGAGCTGCTGGCCCGGGGGTCCGCGCGGGGGGAGATCGTGGAGGTCCTCCTCGGGCACTGCACCTGGATCATGCTGCTGCGCCGGCCGTCGCTCGCCATCTTCGACGCGAGCTACCGCTTCTGCCAGGCTGCGCAGGACGAGGCCCTCCCCCTGTGGGCCTCGGTGCGCTGGGAGCTCCGCACGCTGCGGAACTTGCTGCCGTTGCTCTCCGCGCGCCTGGCAGCCCCGTGGCATGCGGAGGTCTCCGCCTCCGATGCCTCGCCGTGGGGCGGCGGAGTCTGCGTCCGACAGGCTAGCTGCCGCGCCGCCGCCTCGCTGGGGCGGACCGTGGAGCGCTGGCGGTACCACTTCGATGAGGCCATCACCGCCCGCGCGCACGCGCTCGAGGGCGCGGGGGTGGCCACCGCGCTGCGGCGGCCCGCGGCGCTGCCGAGCGAGGCGGCGAAGCACCTGGACAAGCAGTTCGGCGAGGTCCCGGCGTCCTTCATGCAGGACCCCAGCTGGAAGATTGCAATGTCCTTCCCGTGGCGGGACAAGCACGACATCTACTACGCAGAGGGGCTGGCCCTATCCGCCTCGCTGCGGCGCGCGCTGCGGTCGCGGGGCGCCTTCGGGCACCGCCTGGTGCTTCTGGTGGACAACCTGTCTCTGGCTCTGGCTGCCGGCAAGGGTCGAGGTTCGGCGGCGCAGCTCCGCAGCGTGCTGCGCGAGCTCTGCGCGCCGGCGCTGGCCTGCCGCCTGCAGCCGCACGTGCGGCGGGTCCCGAGTGAGCTCAACCCTGCCGACCGCCCGTCCCGCGGCTACCTGTGCATCGACGCGCAGAAGCGGGGGGCGGCCGCGGAGCTCGGGCCTGCTGCAGCTCGCGATGCTAGCCCTGGCCCCCCCGACGGTGATGGGGGGGAAGAGAGGGCGCGCGCCGACGCTGGGGGCTGTTGCCGCGCTGGATCGGCCCCTAGCCCTGCCCGGTGCGGGGATCGCGCTGGGGGCTGCCGCGGGGTCGGCCGCTGCGGCGCGTTGCCGGGGGGCGACGAAGGTGGCGCTGGAGCCGGGGTTGACCTATCTGGAGCAGAGGTCGATCTCGAAGCCCGTGCTGGCCGACTACCGCAGGCGGGCGCAGGCCTTCGTGACTTGGGCCTCCGACTGCTGGTGATGATACTGATGATGCTGAGGCTGATGCTAATGATGATGATGCTGCTGATGCTGATGCTGATGCTGATGCTGTTGCTGCTGATGATGATTATGCTGATGCTGTTGCTGTTGCTGATGCTGCTGCTGCTGATGCTGCTGCTGCTTATGATGATGATGCCGATTATGCTGATGATGATGATGATGATGACGATGATGACGATGATGATGCTGACGATGATGATGACGATGCTGATGATGACGATGACGATGACGATGACGATGATGCTGATGATGATGATGGTGGTGGTCGTGGTGGTGGTGGTGATGATGATGCTGCTGCTGATGATGATTATGCTGATGATGATGACGATGATGACGATGATGACGATGATGATGATGACGATGACGATAACGATGAGAATGAGGATGATGTTGGTGATGGTGGTGGTGATGATGATGATGCTGATGATGAGGCTGATGATGGTGTTGATGATGATGCTGATGATGATGCTGATGATGATGATGGTGGTGGTGATGATGATGTTGATGATGATGATGATGATGATGATGATGATGATGATGACCGTGTTTGCACATCGCATTTTCAGTGGAACCGAAGGCCGTCGCCACGACCGCTTCGGCTCACGTCTTTTTCTGGAGGGCGAGGCCTCCGCCTTGATTCGCCTTGGCTCCGGGCTCGGCCTCCCGCTCGCAAGCAGCGCCCTTCTCCTGTATCTGGTGCGCTGGTGGCTGCAGCCCGCCGTGCCCGCGGCTCCCGTCGCGCCTGCGGCAGCGGCGGCCTTCCCGCGCGAGGAGGCGGGCCCGTTCCGGGCGCTGGGCGAGGCCGCCGGGGTCCAGGTGCCGCTGGCTGACTGCCTGGCGGCCGCCTTGGACGCGAGGGAGGCCGCGCGCGCTTGCCCCCCGCCCTGCCCGCAGTGCCCCGTCTGCGACGTGGGCAGCGGGCCGCGGCCTTCCCTGGCGTGGGAGGCGGCGCTCTACGTCTTGCTGCTGGCCTCCGAGCTCCTGCTCTGGGGGCTCTCGCTAGCCGCGGCGGCGGCCCGACTCCCTTGCCGGGGCCGCGCTAGGCGGCCCGCCCTGGACGGTGACGCCCGCGCGAGCGCGCAGCAGCCTGTGCGTGTGGACTCGCCCGACCGACGCGGGCATCTGATCGGCGGGCCGGGCCGCTTCTCGTGATCTCGGTCGGCGATGGGATATGGATCGAGTACGATGAACCTGGGCCGCGGCTCGCACACAAGCGCATCGTCGTGGCGCTGTCCTCCCGAGGGCTCGAGCACTACGCGGTGCTCACACCTGACTTCGATGTTTACGTCGAGGAGCGTGGCGCGGGGAATGTCGACATCCGCAACTTGTGGAAGGAGTGGGGCCCTGCCGCGGCCCCGCAGGGGGCCGTCATCCCCCTGGGCTGCGACGGTGCGACTTCGCCGCCATGCCGACGGTCGCCCAGCTTGCCCAGGCCTTCGCTCGAGGGAAATGATATGGAACAGGCGGGTGCTGAACAGGCCTACACCCAGTCCAAACTCGGGGGAACTCCAACGTGGATTTTTCTCCCGCGAGAAGAATGGCCGTCTGCTTGGGAGGACGTGAGAAATCCTGTATGTCCTCTCGTTCTATCACTCTACTGACATCCTGATGCCGTGGGGTCTCGGGAGCAACGCTGTGAAGGACATGTGACTTCAAAAGGATGTGTCAAA